CAGGGAAGAGTGAGACATAAACGTGAAAACAAGATATGTCTGCAATTCACGTGGGGCCGCACGGCTTTCTTTGGTGTAGCCCCGATAATCTAACGTAATTCCTTTTATTTTGCTCAAAAGCATCCTCTTCACATTTGTGATCTCTGCCCCCGTGGCCCGGGCAGGTTACAGAATCGGGATGTAGCTGTTGATCTTAGTGCGATGCCTTTGCGAGATGCACTCGGCGATCCACACAATGTTCCTCATTTCTTGCTCCCTCAGCTTCGTGTACGCATAAAACACGCCGCAGTGGAACTGCCTGGTGAACGCCAGCACGTTCATCTTCACCTGAGCAAGGGCACAGAGCACCGTCAGCCCAGCGAGGGCGGGAGCACCATCAGCCCAGCGAGAGTGGGAGCACCATCAGCCCAGCAAGGGCGGGAGCACCATCAGCCCAGACAGAGACAGAGCACCGTCAGCCCAGCGAGGGCGGGAGCACCGTCAGGCCATGCCCTGTCATCTCTCCCGGAGCGCAGGCGTTACCCAGTAGGAAGCGGCAGGCTGGCTGTGCTGGAGCAGTAAATGTGGACACCAGGAGTTTAGAGCAAGTTTGTAGGCCCACAGGGCAATCTGCCAATCTCAGCAGCAGTCTGAGCAGACTCCTAGGACCTGTGTGTGTGCACGTATGTGTGTGTATGTCTGTCTATGTGTGTGTCCATGTGTATTTCTCTGTGTGTCTGTGTCTACATGTGTGTGTCTATGTGTATGTGTGCATGCCTGTGTGTGTCTGCATGTGTGTGCCTGTTTTTGCATATGTGTGTGTCTGTGTATCTGTGTCTTTGTGTGTGTGTGTCTGTGTCTACATGTGTGTGTCTATGTGTATGTGTGCATGCCTGTGTGTGTCTGCATGTGTGTGCCTGTTTTTGCATATGTGTGTATGTCTGTGTATCTGTATCTTTGTGTGTGTGTGTGTTTTGTGTGTGTGTCTCTGTGAGGTTTTGAATGTGTGTGTGTGTGTGTGTGTGTGTGTGTGTGTGTGTGTGTGTGATTTTGGAACCACATTTACTTGGCATCTGGCTTGTGGGCTTGTCGCATTCAGGGAAAGCATTTTCTTTGGCCGCAGCCTTAAAAGGTTGGGAAGGTTTTAGCTGCTAACTCCCTCCAGGGCAGCATCCCAGCCCCTGGCGTCCAGACTCAGCTCTGTTGAGCTTTTCTAGAACGCTCTGCAGCAACCTGACTTACAGGGCGATTGTTGGTGTTTTTCTCTGTAGAAGGGAGATAAAAGAAATTTTTCAAAAAAACATTTGAACTGGGGCAGTCGGAAATGGGACCGTTCCGAATTCTGTTCCCGTGGAGGGAAGGAGAGAGGGCCGAGCTGGAGGCGGTTTTGACGCCCCTTGGGCCCCGAGAGCGCTCAGAGCAGGACCGACAGGAGCCGGTCCGCCCGCTGCGGCCTGTGCAGCCCACAGGTTCTCAGCGTCCATCCCAGGGCTCTCTGTGGCTTCCAGTCAGTGGCAGTGGAAGGGCCGGTGGCTGGGAGGAAGAATGGACCGCACTAGAAAGATGTGTTAGCCTAGGGGACATTGCTGGTAAAAAATATAACAAACGAAGCAAGTCCTTCTGTTGAGCAGCTCAGTACCCATGGACCTTTCTGCCTTTTAGGGAACCGTGATGCGGACCCTCCGTGGAATTCCACAGGAATAATTCCCACGTGTTACAGCTGTGCCCGAGCTGCGTCCTAACCCTGGACAAACCCGGAGGGCAGCGCCCACCGCGCTGGCCCGTGACGACAGGCAGGCTGTGATGGCGAGAAGGCTGGGCCGTTCCCCTCGCTCCGGTTCGGGCCGCCTCCCTCCCAGCCGGCTCTGCACCTCCGTCCCACAGGGACTTGCACAGGGGCCGCCCTCTGAGACCACGGCTGTGAGGCAGAGCCCTCACTCACAGCCCCCGTGAGATGAGAAGACGTTAACCCCAGAGCGGGGGAAGGAGCGGGCACAGCCATCCATGCCCCGCGGGTCCTACCTCGTGCTCGTAAAACACGTCCTCCAGCGACTTCCCCCCAGTGCCGTCACCCACAGCCTCGAACAAGGGCTTGTAAACCTTAGAAGTAGAGGAGAGACTATTTTGTAACAAGTCCTCATTTCTCATAAATGTATATGGCTCCTAGCAAACAGAAATGGTATCTATTTAAAAGCCTGTCCCCAGAGGCCATGCTCTTGTAACTCTCGGGCCTCCGGAGGAAATATCCAATCTCCCCAGTGACAGCAGGTGGGATGTAGCGCAGCCCATGGCGAGTGCAGCCCCACCAGGCCAGCTCTCAGCTCTCACTCTGGGGCGCAGGGAATGCACCCCGTGGGACTGCAAGTGCGGGGGTGGGAGCCCAGGTTCGGAGAGTCCGCGCACAGCCCCTGGGGCACAGCAGGTGTTGCAGAGGTTTGGGCACAGCCTCCGCCTTCCGTGGTCCCGGGAGGCATCCAGGAAGCCCCGGGAAAGATGGGCAGGTCCTTCATTCTGGAAGCTGCCTGCAGGGCTGAGTTAGAGGAGCGAGGAGCGGCTGGGAGGAGGAGGACCTGAGCTGCAGGCAGCAGGTAAGGCCTCTCCATCCTGCGCCCCAGAGCCCGGGCGCACAGCCAGGGGCCCCTCACCTGCTTACCCAGCTGCTTCCAAGGGCCTCTGGGTCTGGGTTGGCTCTTCCACCTGCTCTGACGTGAGCTCACGTTCCCTGGACACCGTTCCCAGGGAATCGCTGCGTCAGCCCCTGAGGACTGTGCTGCCCAGTGGTCACAGAGACATCCCTGTGCACCTCACAGCCCTCCGGGAGGGAGGCACTGCAGGGAGGGTGCGGCGTCCAGGGCCCACGAGAGCGAGGGGCACCGGGTCATGTACGTACCCCGTAGTGGTCCGCGACCCTCTTCATCTGTTCGAAGTCCTCCGCTTGGGCCAGCAGGCGCAGGCCCTCGGGGTAGAGCCGGCCACAGGTCGGGTAGAGGGCCTCCCGGGCGTCTTTGCTCAGTTCGGTGCCGAAGGAGTTGAGGGTGATGATGAAAGCTCGCCTGTCGGCCTCAAACTGAATTTGCAAGAAAGTGGTGAGACCCGGCCTCTGCTCAAGGCTAGAGACAGAGCCCTAGGGAGGCAAGTGTTTCCCCCGATTTGTTTCCCGTTCGGCTCTGCATCTAGGTGTCGCTCAGTCCAGGGTTCTGAACGAGAGCTGAGCAGCTGCCCACCGAGCAGCCAGGCCCTGGCTCCAAACCCCATGCAGCTCCCAGGCGCTGGTGTGTGGCCCGGCCAGCAGCCTGCAGCTCTCCTCCTGGACGCGGGCGTGAGGTCTGGGCTGGGGGTTGGTGCCCCCGGGACAGAGCACACGGGCCCGGGGAAGGCCTAGCGGGCGCTGGGAAGAGAAAGTGCACGCGGTGCCCTCCAGGCCCCCCTGACTGTGGGTCAGGCCTCTTCACATGAGGAGAGTCCGTGCTACCCATGGTTTGGGTGGGGTTATTATTTTGCTTTGCTTGTTTTTTTTGTTGTTGTTAATCCTCACCAGAGGATATTTTCCCACTGATTTTTAGGGAAAGCGGAAGACAGGGGGGAAGACAGAGAGAAACATTGATGTGAGAGAAACACATGGATTGGCTGCCTCCTTCACGAGCCCCAACCAGGGCCCAGGCCGGGGAGGAGCCTGCAACCAAGGTACATGCCCTTGACTGGAACCGAACCCAGGACCCTTTGGTCTGCAGGCTGATGCTCTATCCACTGCACCAAGCCAGCCAGGCTGGTGTTGTTGTTTTTAAGTTAAATAGCAGTAACTCTGACTCTGTAGCTAAGAATTATTTGACTCAGAGCAGGTGATCGTGTTCTCTGGCTCAGGTTCCTCATCTGTGGGGCGATGGGTCGAGTGTGCGAAGCACGGGGCAGACGGCCATGGGGCCTCCAGGGCACCCGCACCTTGTCCTTCTCTCCCGTTGGTCTCCATGTCCTCCTCCTCCCGTCCTCCTCCTCCGACCCCCACCGGAGCCCAGAGAGGCTGCTCCCGGTGCCGGTGCTGGGAACCTTTCTTGGTACCCAAGCCCCTGCCCAGCACATGACTCGTCATTTAAAAATCTGCCTGGGTTTTTCTCCCCTCGAGACCAGACCCTCTGGGACCATGCCTGTCCTGTCCACGTTCATTCTGAACGTCCAGCGTCCGACCCCTGGCAGGTGTCGGGCAGGCCCACCAGAAGGGCCTGCGATTCTGCCCCGTCAGCTATCCTGGGGCGGCCTCCGCTCACAGCCCCTCCCAAACCCAGAGGCCACAGCGAGGAGCCGGGGCGAGGAGCCAGGTGACCAGTCCTCCCATCCTCCCAGCTGGCCAGAGGCCGGGCCACCTTATCTGGAGCCGAAGGCAGCTGCCTCGGGCCCTGGACAGCACCGGCCCGTCGGCCCGTTGTACTCTCAGGCCTCGCAGGGTGAGGGAGGATGGGCCAGAGGGTGGTCCACGGCAAAGGAACCCCCACATGGCGCCTGGCGGAGTGGGGTGATGGGCAGGTCCTCACTGCGCCTCCTGTGGGGGGGGGGGCGCGGGGGCAGGGCGGCTCAGGCTGCGCCGGGAGAGGGCCACGCCCCAGACAGCGCTACTGAGCAGCCATGTCTGTGTTCTCCCCTTGGGAACACGTCTCCGCAGCCTGCACCGCACGAGCTCCACTCAGAACTCGACCTGTTGAGATCCTCCCTGTGTTTGAGGGCCCACAGACCCCTTTTCACAGAAAGCCCTGCTAGTTCCCCTCCCGGTGATGATTTCTTGGTCCCCAGTAGCTGGTGACTCCCCTTGTTCTGCCTGGCTCCCTCCCGCCTGCGGGGGTGAGAAGATGCAATGGGAACTGTAAGAGGCTGACCGTCCGAGTCCGACACCCTGGCTGGAGGGCACACGGGCAGCGCCTGTGGGGCAGGTAAGTCAGAGTCCGGTCCTTTCCCTCACGCCTCCTTACAAACACCCGCTCATTCTGAGGCCACAGCCTTTCGCTGTTGCAGAGGTGACTGCACTCTGGGACTCCTTCCAAGTCACTGTCAGCTGCACCGGTAGAGCTGGGCTGTCAGGCCACCCATTCTCGCCCGCTCACATCTGGGGGAAGCAGGGGTAGGCCAGGGGCTGTGGAGGACAGCGGCAGGGGGCAGG